AGCCGGGGGTCAGGAAGTCGGGCCCGCGGCTGGGGGGGAAGGTTGGGACGGTCAGGACTGTCAGGCTGATCAAACGGTTTCTGATTCATGGAAAACCTCAAACGTGTTCGACGTGCATTAGAAAGGACGCACGGAAATGCCAGAAAACTGGAGAAAAGTATCATCAGGAGCTATGCAGGCTGCCAGGGAAACAAAAACCCGCTTAATTTTCTAAAGGAAACATTTCCATGTGTTCTCTCCAGTGAGTGTAATTTTAAAGCAAAGAAATACACTAACCTCAAAAAAGATGTTTAGGATACTCATAATGAGTAATTGTTGCTGCAGCTGCATTGTAATGCGATGTTTAAAAGACTTACTTAGCACTTTATCAGTGTCCAGTACAAAGGGAAATTCCCCAAATTTGAAGTCATGAATATATGCTCTTTTTGCCTTTCAGCATCTTGGATTTCCCCTGCTCTTTGTGGGAAGGCTTTTTTTTAAAGTCGGTCATTAAAAGAGTTGGAAAAGCTGTGTTTTGGTATCCACACCTCTCTTTTAAAAGATTATTATTAGATGAGCTTACTCTTTGTTGAAATGGCAGATTACAGGTGCATTTTGTGTATGCCGTACATTAAAAGTCTGCTTTCTTGAATTTTTCAATGTACTTGCTTATTAATACTATGGGAAAATGAAATGTCTCGCCGTGTATTACAAGACACAGAGTTTGTCCCCTTCATTAGGGAAGCACTTTGTGGGCGGACATGAAATGTTTAAAGCTGTGATGCAAGCACTGGAACACAGAGAACATGAAAATGTAAGAATGTCTCTGCTGGGTCAGACACAGAGTCTATCTAGCCCCATGCCCTGTCTCCAACTGCGGCCAAAAGTGGGTGCCCAAGGAAAAGCATTAAGACTACAGAGGGCCTTTAATGATACACTCCCTGAATCCTCTCCCAGCCTCCAACCGTCTGGAGGGACTTCCCAAGGCAGAGATAGTGTCTGGTTATTTAACAACCCTCACTGGTCTCCCCTTGAACTTACGTGAACTTCTTGCATCCATGACATGCGGTGGCAAAGAGTTGCTCGGCGTAACGGCGCGTTGTGTGGTTTCATCTTTTATCTGAACCTTCTATCTGCCAGCAGCATTTGATGCAGCTTTTGCACTGGAAGAGACAGCAAGCAATCAATCTCTGTGCATCCCCTCCACAACACTCATGATTCTTGCGACCTCTGTGTCTCTTGGGACCTGTTTCTCCAGGCTGAGGACTCCTACCCTCACGGTCCTTCCATGTACAAAGCTCTTCCATTCTATAACACTGGAGTTTAATGTCAGATTCTTTTTCAAGGGAATGGGAAAATGGAAGTAATTATCAAGTATTCAGCCAGATTGCCAAAAAGTAACTGAGAAAATACTTAAGTGTTTGGAATCAAAGATTCAATATTTGACTTAGGCCAAGGGAAGAGTAATAGTTGCTCAATACCATGCACATGATGGCGTGGAAGTCATGCTACTTTCAGGATATAGTTTCCAGACGTTTTCTCCACCTATGTAGCAATTTTGTCAGTTTCCAAAATACGGTTTTGTTTCAGAAGAGCAATCACGTATTTTTGGTTTAGTGTTCATCATGTCTGATCAACCATACGAGAGTCAAAGTCTGTGTTGCAGGATCCTGAGGAAGACTGTTCTCACTGACATGTTTTTAACATAGTAAACAGTAAGTGGGTGAGTTCGGAGATGAAGCTATTCACAAAATAGCTATAGCGCAGGCTGGATCAGTTCAGTCTTCCTCAAGTTCATCTTGCCAACGCGTCTCCATCTCCGTGGCACGTGGCAGGCTAAGCTAGGCGTTAGTTCCTTCTGATTCCTGTTCTCCTCACTCAGTGTGCTAGTGAAGGGCAGTCAGTGTCATTTGCCATGGTTTCGGGGGTACACATTGCTGCAACGTTTGGAGGACTTGCCTTTCTGGCATTCAGCGTGGACCCATCAATCTAATAAACTACTACCATACAGGCATTAAAAATCCTTGGATTTTTGCTATACTACTGTATAAGCAGTAGTAGATGTCAAGTAGATCTGCTGGTAGCTGTCAGTAACCTTTGGTTTGGCTCTTGGGTTTATTGCCAATGAAACCCCCCAGAATTCCCTTTACATACTCACAAGCAAACCCTCATATTCATTGTTACCTCTAAATTCCCTGTTTCAGTAATCTGAAATTTGAAGACTTACAGCAACACAAAAGGCATGTTATTTCACAAATATCTTAAATAAAATGCAAATAATTAACCTCAGAACAGAGCCTCTGGAGACCATGTACATCTATATGAACAGGTGGTTGGCAATTGAAAAAGTCTGTAGGTTGATCACTAATGTTTCCTCTCTAGTTTGAGAGAGAGGAAGCCATTAATTCCCTATAAGGGTCTACAGGAAAGTGTATTAGCAGCAAACATAAGGGAAAAAAAAAGCCACAATTCTCACACTAATGTTGGGACATCTTCCTGTTGTAAATTCCAGATTCTGTTCCATCTTCCCCTAAATACACTATGAATGTGTATTGAGGAAGTGTTACTATTTAGAAGGTATTATGGTATCTCTGTAAGAACAGTTTTTGAGATGAAACCCAAGTGATTGATTAGGGACACGTCTGTCCTCAGTCAAAAGGAAGTACAGGATGCATTTATTCCAGTTAGATGTTGATATTACGCATGTCTGTTAATGACCAGGGTGAGGTAAAATACTAACTTCAATAGATGAACATGTCTGGCAATGAAATGGATGACCTGAAGGTGCAGTTTCTGGTCAGCTAAAGCTGACCTAAGGCAGAGCTGCAGGGGCCCACCTTCTGCAGCCTGACATTTCAGCCCCCCTCCCACACAGGTACCAGTACTTGTGCAATGGTGCTAGTTCCATATGACGACGCCAATTTTGACCTAGCCAAAACAAATTTTTAAAGGGTTTGCATTCAGCTGACTCAGCTCTGAATTGCTTAGGACTGCACGACCACCAGAGCTAATACCAAACTGGGACCGTAACAGCACTGATTCACATCACCTTGTGCTGTTGTGGAACTTCATACAGAGGGTAAGTAACCCTCATACAGAGCAATGGTTGCTTACTAAGCAGTCCTGTACAGGAGAAGACACTTACTTTAATAAAGCAGTATTTGCATTTTCAAGGAGATGTGGCAGTTCTCTGACTTACAGAATTGTAAAAACAATCTTCTGGCAAATTAGAAGTAAATCGGTTTGAGGAGCAAGAGGACAAGATCCAATCTCTCTGCTTTCCCTGGCAGACTCCAGAAAGGAGGTGACGTATAGGAGCTGGCATGTTCTGTCAGAAAATGGGTCTGTGATGAATGCTACCAACAACATGATGAATTTAAAACCAAGGTTCTAGGTTACCTTAAGAGGTATCCAGCTCCTCTACACTTTCTGCACAGTACCTGAAGGACATGACTGCATGCAAGTCACATCTGCTGGTTTACAAACCAGGAGTAGAAAAAGTGTCAGGATAGCTCTCTGATGTGAAAAAAAAAATAGCAGGGAACATGCTTGAACGCTAAGAGACTCAAGGGAGCTTGTCATGGGACACTGCAAAAGCTCAGAACTGCAAATACTATACAAAAAGATCTGTATGATTCAGCTCAGTTTCAAACAGAGGATTTTTCAGTGTGCAAGACAGATGTGACAAAAACATGATCTTTCATCTGAGATTAATGTGGCATTTCCATGGTTTTTTGGGGAGAAAAGTTTGCATTGAAGTGGTAAGTGCAATAAATGAACACGTTTACCATACAAACACTTACAAATAATAACTTAGAACACTTTTCCTGTAATACACACTGTTTTTCTTGCTTTATTTATAACTTGGGATAGGTTTTATAAAAAATACCTGTACAAAATTCAGTTTTGTCCTATTACTGCCTGTAAGAATTTCTAGTTATGATCATTTTTTGTTTAGAAATTCATGCATTTCCATAAGCAAACTATTCCAGTGACATGAAGTCCTGTCAGAAGCAGCAAATTTAAGAGTGTGAAAGAGCCACACGATATCCCACCGGTCGTTTCCTAGTTCTTCCAATCAAAATCTTAATAGATGTTGCTACAACAAATCTTTTGCATTCTATGTGATCAAATGAATTCTAGTGAAGTGTGAGGAAGTATTAGGGCTATGTGTGTCTGGCAAACGGTAAACATACCATTTGGCCCTGTTAGCTCCATTTATTGGCTGTAGACACTGTGCGACGAGGTCAGCCGTGCCCATTTTGAAGGTATTTTGGAAGTTCTGCTTAATGTCTTTGAAGTACAGAGTTTATGAATTTCAGTGTAGATGAAAAGCTTGAGCAAAAAAAAGATGAAAAAAATACAACCTGAAATTCCAAGAGGGAAAAACAAGTTTTAATTCAAATCACATTGAGAGGCTACAGAAATCGCCTGTAAAGATGGAAATAATGGACCTAATTCATCCCTGCTGGACCACCATTGATGTTAACTGATTTACTGCAGGAATGATTTTGACAAAATGCAGTTACTGAATTTTCTTTAGTTATAGGCCTCACACATTAATCCCATAATTGTACTGCTGAGTTCTCCTAGTCAGCAACAGTGATTAAAAAACCAACCAAACAAGCAGCTTCAGCTTGTGCAATTATATTCTTCTTCATTTCTGTTGAATGCAGAGCCATTTTCTTGGTACTCGATAGGAATATTTTTCCTCAAAAGTGTCTTTATAGGGGATATGCCATGTATCGCCTGTAGTCTGTACCACACAGTCATAACAGAAAGCAGGCTGTTGGATAAAGACAGATAAAAACATTTTTTTAGACTTTACACAATATATTACTAAAATACCAGTTATAGGAGTTATAACTTCCAACGCTTACCTTAGAAATCTCCATAGATTCATCTCTGTAACAACTCTCATTTATTTCCTTACACCAAACAAATTCTAAATTTTAGTACTGGAGGAAAAACTAAAACATCTTTTAGTATTTTGTTGTCTAGGAGTCATTATAAATGGTTAAAATTCTGTCTTCAATCTCCACCAGATAATAATGATTTGAACATAATGCATTCAATTTCTAGAAATAGCAAAATGATTGTTTTTCTGTTCAGTTAAATGAAATCATATGGGAATTAACTCAGGATGTGGAGTTTATAGGCTTGAACTGATAGGATTTAATGACATTAATGACATCTTGTGTTTGTTCTTCCAGTGTACCTCCTTACAGAACTGACTTGCTCTGTGCTGAGGAGGATGTAAGAAAAGGGTTTATCACTAACACTTTCAAGAGCGTCTAGTTGAACAAATATAATAAACTATTTTTCTGGTCTATTATGTTACAGGTATACTAACTCAACACATATATAACAATATATAACACAAATACAAAAGAAACATTACTGGTTGGCAATTATGGTTCTCAGAACACGCTGTCACTCTGTATGTATCATCTTGGAAGTCTACTTTCCCGTGACAGCTTCCAGAATGACCTAGAAAACAGCTATGACTGGGAGTATCAATCATCCAAATCACTTGTATGGGAATTAAGACGTGAAAATTACTAGCCCTTTCATACAAAAGAAAGAAACAAGGTGTAGCTAAAGCAGCGTTACTCAGGTAACCCTACATTCAGTATTTGGTTCCATAAAAAGACATGTATATATGGCAACACTGAATGAAAGGCTGTCGTTCTTATAAGCCTGTATCTCTAAGGTCTGTTTGTAATGATGAGGAGTATTTTACAATTTTAACCAGAGCAGCAAGAAAATGAATCTGCATAGGTGCAGTATTCCTTTAAGTAGGCAATAACAATGCAGACAAACCAGATAACAAAAAACTGCGTGATACGGAATGTCACATGATGACTTTTTCCCTAGAAAACTCTTAAAACAGCTGCACTCCTGTTGATGTACTGTTCATGGCTCACAAGGATGCATGTCTCCTAGACAATAACAGTAGTATTCTGCTATAAGATGATACTATGCTCGGAAGACTGTAATTTCTGCAGCTGAATACTGACTATAAACCTGACTGTTCTGGGCTTTCCTTCATGAAACTTTATACATATGTTAGGCTAATATTACAGTGAATACCGAAATACCTGTATTTTCCTCCTTCTTTAAGATGAAAGAAATTCTATTGTTCAACTAGAAGCATGATATTTTATAATAGTGCTACAGAGGAGAATAAAGTATTTCAAAGTTTAAAATAAATGAAAAAATACTGGCAATTATGTTTTACAGCAACGGAAAGATTTGTATACACAAACATGCATTTACATTTTAAACATTTAGGCAGCATTTCTTGTCTTCTTGACAGTTTCATGTTTGTGGCATGCTTTGAGAATACAGTGAATTTTCAGTAAGCATGGGAGTTCTGAGCCTATTGGTACAAATCAATTTCTTAGACTCCAACAAGAATCTTTTTGCTTCCAGAGTTTGAAATTGTCTGTCTTTAATGAATATGCTCTGTGTGGTTTCTGATTGCAGCAGAAAACTTACCAAAAAATTTATACGCTTTCCTTCTACAGAGGGGGAGAACACTATTTGGTGTCCACGCTGCCACTTACGGAACAGATGACGCGTCAGACTGTCGGCAAGACAAGCCTTGTGATCCCGGAGGAAGTCTCTAGTAACAAACTTGCAATGCTTGCCTGATTGAAGAGTGGCATATAACAAGAAGGCATCATCTTCAGAGCTTAACAAAACAAATGGAAAAGACAGACATCATTCACAAGGCAGTAAGTGGTTGCAGGAAATGAATCAAATGCTGATCTGAGATTTATCCATCAGCAACACTGAAAAGTCCCATCACTACTCTAGTTCCTTGGTAAAATAAAAGAACTTCTGCTTACCACAGGGCACCAAGAGTTAGAATGCAATAAAAATTAATTTCATGCTACACAGAGCATTCTTCCCTCCTATCACAATCTGGTAATACAACAATATAATCTTTTGCCACATAACAGTGCTGTGTGGAACAGAACTGCTAAAACTCATAACGGTACCCCCAAAACTTTGTTGGAATACAATCAATCATCAAAACTGATAATAATGTAGGCAACAGCACAAATCCATGATTCTTTGTTTTTACATGGGTAAATATACTTCCAAAAGGTACTGTGATTATTTGGAAAATGTATTCAACATTAGCTGCTATTAAACTGAAACAATTTTAGGGAAAAATCTCTAAAAATACATTTATAGTGGGCATGAGATACCCTATACCTGGAGAAGCTGAGCTGAACTTTGCTTGAAACCACTTTTTGATTGCTGTGGGTTACTGTAATAGTAAGTGACAAGACACAAGATTAGTGAGGATTTCCAACCTGGGGTAACAGAGTCCCCTTTGTTGGTGCTCAGATAGCAGGAAAGCAAGCAATGTGATTCAACAGCAAAGAGAACAAGAGCCAGAACTGGAGAGGGGATGAGGGAGAACAGATCTGAAAGAAGGAGGCAGACAGAAGAGACTTGGACTGGCTGTTAGGACAAGGAACTTGGTCAGAAGTTCTGGGAACTGGGATCAGAGAAGAAACGGCACAAACAGGTGAAGGATCAACAGTGCCCAACTCAGATGGAGACTAGGTGGAGCTGGAACTGAAGGAAAACTGAGACTCATTATATAAGGAAAGCTGGGCAAGGAGACGGGACACTGAGGCAGAGGCAAGTACCTAGTTTAGAGACAAGGACAGGCTTGACTGGGCAAGAGCAAGGGGGTTGCGCTTCTTAAATTAGAGAGGCAGAGGGTCTATTTCCACTCACAGAAATACTCTCTTCTGGGAGCAGCAAGGAAGTCAGCGCTCCAGACTCTCCACGCTCCTGGGCTATCAAGCAACACTGGCCAGGCACGAACTTCATCTCCCCCCATGCAGGGCTAACACAGCAGACCACAACTGTACGCTGATGCTATCAGGTATTCTGTAAGTTCAGGCCACTGTGGTCTTGGCAGTGGTTTTAACAGTTATAAATCCTAATAAACCATACAGATGTCAACATGATTCTAAGTGATGAAATTCTTCATAATGCAACTTTTAATATGTTTTGGTTTTTGAAGCAATTATAGCAAGGGATATGTTTCTCTTTCACACACACAGAGCTGGAGGTACTAGTAATGGTACTAAAAACTACAGCAGTTTATACTGATTTAAAATGCATATAAATCAGGTGTTGATCTCCATTACATTTAGCCATTTTCTTAAACTTACATATTTTCAGCAAAGAAGAAGTCTGCCTTATTCTGCATCTCCTTCATAATCCCTCTTTTCCAAGAAGGAAATCGGGTTGAGGAGCAAGAGGACAAGATCCAATCACTCTGCTTTCCCTGGCAGACTCCAGAAAGGAGGTGACGTATAGGAGCTGGCATGTTCTGTCAGAAAATGGGTCTGTGATGAATGCTACCAACAACATGATGAATTTAAAACCAAGGTTCTAGGTTACCTTAAGAGGTATCCAGCTCCTCTACACTTTCTGCACAGTACCTGAAGGACATGACTGCATGCAAGTCACATCTGCTGGTTTACAAACCAGGAGTAGAAAAAGTGTCAGGATAGCTCTCTGATGTGAAAAAAAAAATAGCAGGGAACATGCTTGAACGCTAAGAGACTCAAGGGAGCTTGTCATGGGACACTGCAAAAGCTCAGAACTGCAAATACTATACAAAAAGATCTGTATGATTCAGCTCAGTTTCAAACAGAGGATTTTTCAGTGTGCAAGACAGATGTGACAAAAACATGATCTTTCATCTGAGATTAATGTGGCATTTCCATGGTTTTTTGGGGAGAAAAGTTTGCATTGAAGTGGTAAGTGCAATAAATGAACACGTTTACCATACAAACACTTACAAATAATAACTTAGAACACTTTTCCTGTAATACACACTGTTTTTCTTGCTTTATTTATAACTTGGGATAGGTTTTATAAAAAATACCTGTACAAAATTCAGTTTTGTCCTATTACTGCCTGTAAGAATTTCTAGTTATGATCATTTTTTGTTTAGAAATTCATGCATTTCCATAAGCAAACTATTCCAGTGACATGAAGTCCTGTCAGAAGCAGCAAATTTAAGAGTGTGAAAGAGCCACACGATATCCCACCGGTCGTTTCCTAGTTCTTCCAATCAAAATCTTAATAGATGTTGCTACAACAAATCTTTTGCATTCTATGTGATCAAATGAATTCTAGTGAAGTGTGAGGAAGTATTAGGGCTATGTGTGTCTGGCAAACGGTAAACATACCATTTGGCCCTGTTAGCTCCATTTATTGGCTGTAGACACTGTGCGACGAGGTCAGCCGTGCCCATTTTGAAGGTATTTTGGAAGTTCTGCTTAATGTCTTTGAAGTACAGAGTTTATGAATTTCAGTGTAGATGAAAAGCTTGAGCAAAAAAAAGATGAAAAAAATACAACCTGAAATTCCAAGAGGGAAAAACAAGTTTTAATTCAAATCACATTGAGAGGCTACAGAAATCGCCTGTAAAGATGGAAATAATGGACCTAATTCATCCCTGCTGGACCACCATTGATGTTAACTGATTTACTGCAGGAATGATTTTGACAAAATGCAGTTACTGAATTTTCTTTAGTTATAGGCCTCACACATTAATCCCATAATTGTACTGCTGAGTTCTCCTAGTCAGCAACAGTGATTAAAAAACCAACCAAACAAGCAGCTTCAGCTTGTGCAATTATATTCTTCTTCATTTCTGTTGAATGCAGAGCCATTTTCTTGGTACTCGATAGGAATATTTTTCCTCAAAAGTGTCTTTATAGGGGATATGCCATGTATCGCCTGTAGTCTGTACCACACAGTCATAACAGAAAGCAGGCTGGTGGATAAAAACAAATAAAAACATTTTTTTAGACTTTACACAATATATTACTAAAATACCAGTTATAGGAGTTATAACTTCCAACGCTTACCTTAGAAATCTCCATAGATTCATCTCTGTAACAACTCTCATTTATTTCCTTACACCAAACAAATTCTAAATTTTAGTACTGGAGGAAAAACTAAAACATCTTTTAGTATTTTGTTGTCTAGGAGTCATTATAAATGGTTAAAATTCTGTCTTCAATCTCCACCAGATAATAATGATTTGAACATAATGCATTCAATTTCTAGAAATAGCAAAATGATTGTTTTTCTGTTCAGTTAAATGAAATCATATGGGAATTAACTCAGGATGTGGAGTTTATAGGCTTGAACTGATAGGATTTAATGACATTAATGACATCTTGTGTTTGTTCTTCCAGTGTACCTCCTTACAGAACTGACTTGCTCTGTGCTGAGGAGGATGTAAGAAAAGGGTTTATCACTAACACTTTCAAGAGCGTCTAGTTGAACAAATATAATAAACTATTTTTCTGGTCTATTATGTTACAGGTATACTAACTCAACACATATATAACAATATATAACACAAATACAAAAGAAACATTACTGGTTGGCAATTATGGTTCTCAGAACACGCTGTCACTCTGTATGTATCATCTTGGAAGTCTACTTTCCCGTGACAGCTTCCAGAATGACCTAGAAAACAGCTATGACTGGGAGTATCAATCATCCAAATCACTTGTATGGGAATTAAGACGTGAAAATTACTAGCCCTTTCATACAAAAGAAAGAAACAAGGTGTAGCTAAAGCAGCGTTACTCAGGTAACCCTACATTCAGTATTTGGTTCCATAAAAAGACATGTATATATGGCAACACTGAATGAAAGGCTGTCGTTCTTATAAGCCTGTATCTCTAAGGTCTGTTTGTAATGATGAGGAGTATTTTACAATTTTAACCAGAGCAGCAAGAAAATGAATCTGCATAGGTGCAGTATTCCTTTAAGTAGGCAATAACAATGCAGACAAACCAGATAACAAAAAACTGCGTGATACGGAATGTCACATGATGACTTTTTCCCTAGAAAACTCTTAAAACAGCTGCACTCCTGTTGATGTACTGTTCATGGCTCACAAGGATGCATGTCTCCTAGACAATAACAGTAGTATTCTGCTATAAGATGATACTATGCTCGGAAGACTGTAATTTCTGCAGCTGAATACTGACTATAAACCTGACTGTTCTGGGCTTTCCTTCATGAAACTTTATACATATGTTAGGCTAATATTACAGTGAATACCGAAATACCTGTATTTTCCTCCTTCTTTAAGATGAAAGAAATTCTATTGTTCAACTAGAAGCATGATATTTTATAATAGTGCTACAGAGGAGAATAAAGTATTTCAAAGTTTAAAATAAATGAAAAAATACTGGCAATTATGTTTTACAGCAACGGAAAGATTTGTATACACAAACATGCATTTACATTTTAAACATTTAGGCAGCATTTCTTGTCTTCTTGACAGTTTCATGTTTGTGGCATGCTTTGAGAATACAGTGAATTTTCAGTAAGCATGGGAGTTCTGAGCCTATTGGTACAAATCAATTTCTTAGACTCCAACAAGAATCTTTTTGCTTCCAGAGTTTGAAATTGTCTGTCTTTAATGAATATGCTCTGTGTGGTTTCTGATTGCAGCAGAAAACTTACCAAAAAATTTATACGCTTTCCTTCTACAGAGGGGGAGAACACTATTTGGTGTCCACGCTGCCACTTACGGAACAGATGACGCGTCAGACTGTCGGCAAGACAAGCCTTGTGATCCCGGAGGAAGTCTCTAGTAACAAACTTGCAATGCTTGCCTGATTGAAGAGTGGCATATAACAAGAAGGCATCATCTTCAGAGCTTAACAAAACAAATGGAAAAGACAGACATCATTCACAAGGCAGTAAGTGGTTGCAGGAAATGAATCAAATGCTGATCTGAGATTTATCCATCAGCAACACTGAAAAGTCCCATCACTACTCTAGTTCCTTGGTAAAATAAAAGAACTTCTGCTTACCACAGGGCACCAAGAGTTAGAATGCAATAAAAATTAATTTCATGCTACACAGAGCATTCTTCCCTCCTATCACAATCTGGTAATACAACAATATAATCTTTTGCCACATAACAGTGCTGTGTGGAACAGAACTGCTAAAACTCATAACGGTACCCCCAAAACTTTGTTGGAATACAATCAATCATCAAAACTGATAATAATGTAGGCAACAGCACAAATCCATGATTCTTTGTTTTTACATGGGTAAATATACTTCCAAAAGGTACTGTGATTATTTGGAAAATGTATTCAACATTAGCTGCTATTAAACTGAAACAATTTTAGGGAAAAATCTCTAAAAATACATTTATAGTGGGCATGAGATACCCTATACCTGGAGAAGCTGAGCTGAACTTTGCTTGAAACCACTTTTTGATTGCTGTGGGTTACTGTAATAGTAAGTGACAAGACACAAGATTAGTGAGGATTTCCAACCTGGGGTAACAGAGTCCCCTTTGTTGGTGCTCAGATAGCAGGAAAGCAAGCAATGTGATTCAACAGCAAAGAGAACAAGAGCCAGAACTGGAGAGGGGATGAGGGAGAACAGATCTGAAAGAAGGAGGCAGACAGAAGAGACTTGGACTGGCTGTTAGGACAAGGAACTTGGTCAGAAGTTCTGGGAACTGGGATCAGAGAAGAAACGGCACAAACAGGTGAAGGATCAACAGTGCCCAACTCAGATGGAGACTAGGTGGAGCTGGAACTGAAGGAAAACTGAGACTCATTATATAAGGAAAGCTGGGCAAGGAGACGGGACACTGAGGCAGAGGCAAGTACCTAGTTTAGAGACAAGGACAGGCTTGACTGGGCAAGAGCAAGGGGGTTGCGCTTCTTAAATTAGAGAGGCAGAGGGTCTATTTCCACTCACAGAAATACTCTCTTCTGGGAGCAGCAAGGAAGTCAGCGCTCCAGACTCTCCACGCTCCTGGGCTATCAAGCAACACTGGCCAGGCACGAACTTCATCTCCCCCCATGCAGGGCTAACACAGCAGACCACAACTGTACGCTGATGCTATCAGGTATTCTGTAAGTTCAGGCCACTGTGGTCTTGGCAGTGGTTTTAACAGTTATAAATCCTAATAAACCATACAGATGTCAACATGATTCTAAGTGATGAAATTCTTCATAATGCAACTTTTAATATGTTTTGGTTTTTGAAGCAATTATAGCAAGGGATATGTTTCTCTTTCACACACACAGAGCTGGAGGTACTAGTAATGGTACTAAAAACTACAGCAGTTTATACTGATTTAAAATGCATATAAATCAGGTGTTGATCTCCATTACATTTAGCCATTTTCTTAAACTTACATATTTTCAGCAAAGAAGAA